ATTCACGTAAGATGCAAGCCCTTGAAGTCAACACGGATAATGAAAACGTATAAAGGATTATAGAATTTAAAATTAAATATAATACAATCATTATAATTCAATTAATTATAATTATTGTATTGTAATTATTATGATTTTAAAATTTATAAAATTAATATAATTAAAATAATACCGCATTGTAATAGACGGGCATCGTGCGAAGAAAACAAAGGTTGTGTTCAACGACGAAGCGCTCTCTCTCGCTCTAACGGAATGTTCGCGACTCTTTACTCCTAAAGCCACAAATGCACGGCGGGTTCTCGCTCGCTCTCATTTAAAATTTAACATAGAATACATACATACCCCGGGATCTTTATGAAATACGCATTCGCTTATGTTCCTATACCTATCCTCTCTTTACCCATTACACTTCCCAGACCTACAAGCTATGCTGCCATGCTAACACCAAGCATGTGCATTTCTTTTGATATCTAAACAACTGATCAATTCCAGATCAATATTGGGACAATTGATTTAATGTTGGAATTGTAGTAACCTTTAAAGGGTTACAACATAGAATGGAATTTCTATTTTTGAAATGTCCATTATTTCCAACTTACATTAATCCTATTTTCAGAGATTGATAAAAAAAAGAAAAAAAAAAATAATAATAATAATAATAATAATAATAACAAATAGACAAATTAATATTTGTTTCCAAAATTGAAAGAATATTTAAAATGTTCTTTCCTAAGAATAAAAGAAAAGGAATGCATTTCAACATAATGCACCTGCAAAATTGCAAATTCAGCAATTTCGGCATAGCAACAGGTCCAACGCCCTGTCTCCACCTTTCCACATTCTTTCCGGAAGCAAACTATAAAAACACATTAATTACCCATCTAAATTGAACAGTACGGTCTCTACTCGCGAATAAGCGCGTACGATTAAAAATCCCAGGCAGTCTCCCGTCCGGTAACTAGGACACTTTATTGTTTGTATTGTCATACCTACAATATTGTTCGGACGAAAATAAAATCCAACTTACTCCGAAGTCCGCGGAGGCAGCCTAGAAGCCGAATCAGTGAAGATATATTTTATCTTGTTGAAAGACCGGCCGGATCCGCGAAATTTCCGCGTCCGCCCTGTGTTTGGTGGTTTAGGAGTTAGAATAAGAGACAATTTGTGAAAATTTGTTTAGCGCCCGTTGACGAGTGCGACGGTAGTTTTTAAGTGCGAACGCCAGGACGGTAAGTACCAATGTATCGTTCCAGGCCAATTAAATTCATTTCCTGCCTTTCCTAAAAATTGTACGAGGGGCAGATAATTCGAGTCAATTTAAATTTAATAAATAACTGTATAACTGATATATTTTAACTGTTTTAAATTTCTTTATTCCTTCTTGAGATCTGATAGGGTAGATTTTCCGAATTTTCTAGGAGAATCTCAGCTTCGTGGATATAAATCGAATCCCATAATAATAAACAAGACCTTTAGTCTTGTCAGTTTGAACTTCCGAGAATCTTAAAAATAGGACCAACTTAAAAGTCTACTTTAATTTTAACAATTAATAAATTATCAATTGTTTTAAATATTAAATATTTTTCTGGTTCGTAACAAGCGGTCCATTTCAATGGACAGATGCATCGACAAAGTTGTTTTTAACTTTGTACAAAAAAAATTTAGTTTCTTAAAGGAAATTAAAAACTTTTAACTCATTAAGTCCCATGAAGAAACCAGTCATTGTATTAAAAAACTAACAATTGGATTCATAGTAGGGTGTCCCAAAAAAATAAAAACTTTTTTTTATTGGGTCTCATCCTCTAAAAATCTTTCAATTTGTGTAAAAATAAGAACACAATATTTAGAAATAAAAATTTTTAACATTAACCCGTGGTTCAGACCCTTTAAACCATAAAAACGCTAAAAATTTAGTGTTTTTTCATTTTTAACATAAATATAAATGTCAAAATATAATGAATAGATTGTCATTGTAAACATAATTAAATTACCTTTTGATCCATATGTCACAGTATAAGATTAATTTTATATTGATTTTTTATTGAGAGTCTGTAACATTACAAAAATCCATAATTTGATCGACTTTTATAAAGTTCTCCGCCATTTTAAAATTTGAAAAACTGACATTGGACTCTAAATGTGATTAATTCCCGCAAAAAGGTGGAGGTTTTTGTATTTCATTTCCCCAAGTTTAAGGGTTGATTTTATATAATTTGAATTAATTGAATTTAATTAATTACTATTGTGAAAATATATAATATTGAGTGAAATAATTATTTAAAGTTGATCGTATAAGATTATAATTAAAACAAAGTGCACTGAGAGAAGACCGAGACGTAATAGTTCCCGCTAGACGTCGCTATGAGCTACTCTGCTTGTCGTGTTTAAGTTGTTCCGAATCGGGTGCTGAGACTCCCCGATCCAGTCAAACATTGTTCTCGCATGTGAGAAAACAACTGGTGGCAAACACTGAAAGTTCTGTGTAATCTCGCTTCAGGACGTTCCACGTTTCGCATCGGGGCTTGAGACATCCCGATTCGAGGGTTCACATAAAAACATTCAAAAGTACAACTCAAGGCTCGCACGGGACGTATTAGTTCCCGGACTTCTCTCAGTGTGATATATTTGAAAATATAAAGATAAAAAGAAATATTAAAGAAGTTATTCGAGATAAATTGAATTAAAAGTGAAGAATATTTGAGAAAACAGTTCGTTAAAAAAAGAATAAATTAATAATAAATATTATTAACAAAGAAAAGAGAATTTCAAAATAAGAAAAAAGTGATAAAAATATTGAACCTCGTTTTTTTTGTGGTTTGAAGATTTATTTCTTTCATTCTACGTATAACACAGGATTTCAGAATTGATTACAAATTTAAAATTTGGTAACCCCAAAATTTTAAATATTAAAATCAATTTTGATCTTTTAATTTTTTATTATTAAAAAAAAGGGAATTTATTTAAAGACCATTAAAAAGAAAAGGAATATAAGAGAAAAACTAAAAAAAAAGAGAAGTAAAAGTGAATACGCGAATATTACTACAGGTGTAACTGGAAGACACAGAAATAAGAGACTTTTCTGTCTAAAAAAAAGAGATATAAATTCTAATAAGTTATAATTGGTGAGTTAATTAAACAATTATTCTGTAATTACTTCTACACATTTACACACACATACACTTATTAGTTAATTTCTTTAAATATCATTTTCTGTTTAAAACAGAGGTATATTCATAAGTTATAATTTTTTCTATTGTCACAATTCTAAGTATTGGATTTTATTTTTATTAAATGTAATTTTACAAAGGGTAATTTTTAAGACCTAATTAATATAAGTTAAAAAGGGTACACATTGTAATAATGATATGACAACATCAATTGTAATAAATTAATATTAATCTTTTTAAACGTACTGAATAAACAGACTCTTGTAACATCATATTGCACATATTACTTAGTGTCTTTGTTAAAATTCTACCTTGCTATTGCCACCTTTTCCTTTTATTTTTCAGCTAAAAATACCGTCTAATCGGAGACGTTGAACTAATAACGTACTTAAAAGGGGGATCCTAAATTTTTAATAACAGTATTTATTTTGAAATAAATTTAACATCCATTTTTCTTACTATAAAATACTGAGCGTTTTATTCATTTAAGACTATTAAAAATTCTTTTTAATACAGTTAAGTCCGAATTCGATTAAATTATAAAATCTTTTAACCCTTTAAAGCCCGAATTATTTCCACCGATTCGATTTCAACCACACTTGGTATATAATGGTTTTTTTTTGATTTTTTTGTTTTGTGTTATATTGTTGACCAGCATAGATTTCTTTTCATTTTTTTTTTTACATTTTGTGTTGCTTTGTGATAAATAAATATGGAACAAATAAATGCGAAATTTCTGTTTGTTTAGACAATGATTGATTTAAACATTATTTTGCTTGGCATATTTGTGAAAAAAAAATAAAAAAATAATGTACTTAAAATTTAAATTGCTATTTCATTGTATCTTTTATAAAAAAAATTATTTTGTTTTTTTATAGGTTGTTTTTATAAAATTATTTTGTTAGGGTCAGGGCAACGTAGACTGATTTCAAAACCAGGTCTTGTTTAAAAAGTTAGGATACTTGGAAAAAAGGAAATAAAAGTGATATTTGAGATATTGTGGTTTTTTTTGAGCTTTTATACAGGTATCACAGTACAAAAGGTGGACAAACATATACCGAATAAAAATTAAATTGAGTTAAATTCTTACAATATTTTTTTTTAGTAATTGTATTAAATTCAGGATCATGATTTCTATAAAATTTTCATAAGTTTAGAAAATGAATTTTCATAAATTTTGTTTGTATTGTTTGAAGGTGATAGAATATTTTTTTAAAAAAATGTTATAAAACTAATTGTAATAATTTAATTTTTTCTAAAGAAAAAAAACAATTCTATTTCTAAAAGAATTTTGTATAATTTAAAGGAATCTAGTCAATTTTTGATAAATTTCAATTAAATGTTCTGAACATGATTGTTTTCTTCAGAATGTAAAAAAAATAAAAATAATTATAAAATGTTATTATTTTTAAATTTGTTTGAATTTTTGGAAATATGTGATTGAAAATATTGAATTTATAAAAAAATAGAAGCTAATTTTCTTTAATTTTCGGTTTTTAAATTTGCTTTAAACGATCCCTGTTTTATATAAAAAAATTTAATAAAAAAATGAGCGAAATAATTTATATTAATTGTTATTTTTTTGTTTAAGTGGTAGAATTTGAATTGAAGTGGTTAGTAATAGTTTTGATTAATTGTCGTATGGTGACAGCATCTCTCGGTGAGGTGGTCACTCGTGTGAGATGTGCATTGTGCTGTAGTATGCATTTTCAAATCTCGTTTATTATCTACTTCGTTGTCTTTGTAGGCGTCAGTGTAGTTTTCTTTTATATTTAGTTATAGTGTTTTTTGTTAAGTGTTTATTTTGTTCTCTTTTTAGTTATTGTTTAGTGTTTTGTATTTAAAAAAATTTATATATATATATATAAAAACTGTTGGTGTAAATTTTGACAAAAGACTGGGTTTTGGTGTTTTGTGAATTTTTTTGTATTATTTCTATAGGCGATTGTACTGCAACGGTGAGTGGGAACAATTAAATTATTATTATTAATATAATTTTTTTTCTAATTAGTTAATTTATAAAAAGGATTCATCTTAAAAAAATTTTAAAAAAAAATTAAGATTGAATTTTCGCAATATTTTAAAAAATAAACATTTTTAATTTCGTTATTTTAAGGTAATTAAATTTTTATAAACAATTAATTGAAAATGTTTGATGTAATTGAAATTTCGTTACATTCAATTACAAATGATTTACTTCTTTTTTAAAGAACCTTATTTAAAACATTTTTTAAAAAAAGTAGCGAACATTTTTAGGTTTATTAAATTTTTGGAAGTTATTTTTTGAAAAATATTTTTAAAAAGAAATTTATTACTATCATGAATTTCCATAAAAATTCATTAGAATTAAATTGTCAAATTATATTATATTTAAAATTTTAAAGTATATTAAAAAAAATTTTAATAAATTTTACTTTAATAAATAATCGAACTTTCTTGTTGTACAAAGAAAATTGAATATCAAAAAAAACTTTGCTACCCTTTTATATTCAAAACAATCATAGAAAAAGTTTTTTTTTTTTTTTTTAAATATATTTATATAATAATCTTATGTTTTCAAATTTATTAATTTTTTTTTAAAATTAAATAGAGCTTTGCCATATTTATCATTTTAAATTACTTCTGTCAAACGTCTAAAAAGTTATTTGGTTTTTTATATATTTGGCGTGTTATATAGATATACTCGCTGCTTGACTCTCCGCCCGTATATATATATATATATTATACTTGGCGTATGATTCTCCTCCGTTTCTCTCCGCTTCCACACCTTCGTAGGCGCCGCCCCGCCTGTCACGGTGGTCTTTAAGCACTTGTAGGTTTACCTAAAATGAGTCAAAATTGTGCTAACGCAGTTTTATCTGGAATCGTCCCAAGATTCCAAATTTTCATTTCCGAAAATCGTAGCTGATTCTTTTTTCAAAAAAACATATATAGAGTAATGTCACCTTGAGTGGACCGCCTAATCTTTTTTTCTAAAAAATTCTGTATGAAAGCAAATTAATCGGAGGTTTCTATTTCAAGCTTTAGTTTAAATCCCTAGATAAGTGTTTATACCATAATAGCTTTGATTTTTTTTTATTGGAAAAAACAATTGACTTTTAAAAAAAGCTAATTTTTAAGGAATGAAAAAAGTGTAACCTTGAGTTGACCACTCCTAAAAAATTGTAAAAGTTATTTTAAATTCTTTAATGTATTTAATATTTCTGATATATTGAAACAAAATTTATGCTTATGCAGCTTCAGACCATGTATGTGTCGCAATGTTTACAAGTGAAACCATTTTTAATAATTTTGTCACATATCACATCAATATCACAAAAAAATTAATAAAGAACATAAATCATAGTTTCAAACTAATTTATTGTCAATTTATATCTAAAGAAATGTTAAACTGACATTAAAAATGGAAAAAGCAGGCAGTCCACTCATGGTTATAAACTGTGGTCCACTCATGGTGACAAACAACTTTTTATGGCAGCCACCACAATTTTTTTTGAGTCAAAATTATCACTAAATTAAACTAAGACAATCAATTTCAATGTCCAAAGTAGTAGGAAAAAAATAAGTTACCTTTTAAAACTTAAATTTTACACTACTTTTACACTTCTAAATCACTTTACTCATTGAAAGAGCGACTTCTTTTTTGGTTTGTGTTCTCAAAAATGCGTTACATCAAACGGTAACGTATATGATTATCGCGGAACTTAATTTCTTACGGTTTCTAGGTGCGGTGCTGCTATTCGCACTATTTATTTCACATTTTCGCTGTCAGATAACTTAAAAGCTCAGGCGGTCTACTCAAGGTGACATTACCCTATGGGAAATTCCACGTGAGATTTTAGTCGACAGTGGGATTTTTTTACAATTAACTTTTTAAAACTGCTACAGCGTAGACCCTTTAACTTAAAACAAAGAACACAAATAGATTAAAATTTATACGCTGCAGACAGTTCTAAAAAGTTAATTGTAAAAATATCCCATGTGATGCTTGCAAGTGATTTTTGAAAATGTTTTAAAACTCATTTAACACATCAGGCCCATTTCGGTACTTTTTGGAAACTTCCTCTATATTATAAGGTATAAATAAATTTTAAAAAAAATTTTTTAAATCCGGCCCAAAGTTAAAAAAAATTAATTTGTTTATAAAAAAATTTTTTGTTTACATTTCTTAAAACTCGAAAGAAAACTAAAACTTTCATTCTTTAACAACTTTTTCCTAAACTCAATATTTTCGGAATTATAAGTTACTGAATATAGGTCTTCAATTACAAGTCAAAAATTTCGAAAATTTATAACTCGAAAATTTGTACAATTAAACAAAAATAAAAAAATACGAATCTAATTTGTTTCGATACAGAATAGAAAAATAAATATTTTTTGGCCGATTTTAAGAGGTGGACTTAAATCTCACGTGGAATTGCCCATATATATGTTTTTTTTCGAAAAAAGAATCAGCTACGATTTTCGGAAATGAAAATTTGGAATCTTGGGACGATTACAGATAAAACTGCGTTAGCACAATTTTGACTCATTTTAGGTAAACCTAAAAGTGCTTGAAGACCACCGTGCTGTACCGAGACTACCACGAAGCAGTGCATGGTTCCATGCGTTTGTCTTTGTTCCTATGCTTTTCGCCCGCTCCCCGGCGTTTCTCCACCTCTTCCGGTACCTACAAACTATCTTCTCTGGCGCGATCCCAGTTTGTCGAGAACCGAAAAATTTCAAGCGCCTAGGGTGTGCATGTTCCGTACGATCTTCATGCATTTATCTTGCTTCCTTTTTTTTCTTTCAGTACATATTTGTGCATATTTTCTGTTTAATTTTTTTTAGCTTTTTGTTTTTGTCAGTGTTTACTATTATGTATAAGAAATTATATTATATTTATATATATATATATATTTTTTATATTTAATTTATTTAATTTAATAGTTTTAGACTAGATTTGTTTGTTTTGAAAATTAGGTTTTGTGGGTTAGAAGCGTTTTTAATAATTTTAATATTTAACTTTTTAATGTGTTTTGATGTGTTCAACGGTTATGTTTTATATCTTTGTTTGTTCACTTTAAGTTTTAACTTCTCAACCATAATTTCTTCTAAGAGTGAATACTTTTTATAATTTAATTTAATGTATTTGATTTAGGGGAGAGTAGGCTACATTGAACCAGCGTCAACAGTGAACCACTTCAATTTTCTGAGAAATGACTGAGTGAAATTTTTTCTTATTTAATATATAAGTTAGTTTTACTGAAACAAACTATGTCCAAAAATTTCGGGCACGTAGGTTTATTATTTACAAAGAAAAACTAAAAAAACTGTTTTTCACGTACAAAACAAAAAATTTGGTGGAATTATAATGACGTTTTTTTATTGAAATAGGAAGTTTTAAAAATTAGTAAACTTGCGATTTATTTCGCTTAGGGTGTCAACTTCAATATTCCGATGTGATAAAGAACTTTAAATCTTACACAAATTTATTATAAACAATTTTTGTTGTGAATGTCATGTGAATACAGTGAGTGCGGCATCATTGAACCACCCGAAAAAGCAAAGAATTTTCAATTTTAAGAGTTGTAAAATTGTCTGCTCTACTAATTAGTAAGAAAAATACTGGAAGACATGCTTTCATCACAATTGTGAACGAGATAAACTCAAACTGTCACTTTACCTACCTAACCTGACATTAAAATACATTAATCTCCTATATTAACAAGTAATAACATTTAAATAACAATTTTCTATTTTTTTGAGTGGAAAATAAGATTTTTTACAATGTGTAAGTGGAAATATTATTTTAGAAGTAAATTGTAGTGTTTTATTAGAGGTGGTTCAATGTAGACACACATCCTTCAAAATAAGAAAAGTGTGACTTGTTAGAAAAAAATTAAATTTTATTATTTAATCATAATAATTTGTGTTTGTAACGTGTGTATTAACTAAAGGAGTACTTCAGCTTAATTTTGATACAAAAACCTGATCGAAATTAGTAAAGTTTTATTAGTTCTTGGACTTTATAAAATACCCGGTTCAATGTAGCCTACCCTCCCCTAATGTTAACATTATTTCGATATTATTAAAAAAATATTTGGTATAATATTTAATTGAATTTTATTTTCATAAATTTCTTAATTACAGAGTATTTAGTTTTTTAACTTTTTTTTTTTAACAAAATATTTTAATTAAACTTCATCTATGAATCAATTAATTTGAATAATTTTCAAAAAGTTCTTCTTGAATTCAATTATCGAATTACAAAAATTTAATTTTTTTATAATAATTGTAATTATATAAATATATTAGTTTTCAATTTTGAATACTTTACAAACAATTAAAATTTGGTAAAAATTTTTTTTTAATTATTTAAAAAAATTTGTTTTTTTTAAATTAAATCAATGTTTTCAAAAAAAAATTTTATCAGGCTTAAATTATACGAAATTTCTATTATTCCATAAATTATTTTTTTTTGTATCATTGATTTATCTTTTACAGTTTATTTTAAAAATGAATTTTATTTAAGGTTCTACATAATAATTGAGTGTTAAAAGTATTATAGTATGAATTTTAAGAAATAATTAATTTTTTAAAATGGTTCTAAATCAATTCTTTAATAAGTTTGTATTTTTTATACTTGTAACTAATGGTTCTGTAGGATTAATTGATTTTTTTTTTTTTGATTAAATTGAATATTTCTTTGAAATTATCTGTATTTTTAGTTTTTTTTTAGATTCGTATTTAGTTGAAGAATTCTGAATATAAAAAAAACTCCCTCTTTAAATCATTTAATAAAATTTATTCCTGTGGGAAAATATTAATCGTTCAAATTTGTTTAGAAAATTGGTTATTTATGTTTTTAGATAATTTATTTTATATTTAGAGAGATTTGTAAATAAGTACGATCACAAAAAATTTTTTTTAGTATCTAATCGTTTTTTAGAGTGATTCAGAATATTCTTTAGAGTCA